ATATATAATCAAATATAAGATTATCTTTGAAGTTTAGAGAAAACTCTAGGAGTAAAGAACAGATCTGTAGTTGTTAGAGGGTCAAGGGAAGCATCTGGGCAACAGTAAGACTGATTCTATCTTGATTATAGGAATGGTCATACTGCTTTGTACAGCACACCAAGAAATAGTCCCTTTCACTGTGTGGTTATTTATTTATTCTTGGTACAAGGTCTCACTCTGTCACCAAGGCTGGAGCACAGTGGTGTCATCACAGCTCACATAAACCTCTTGCCTCAGCCTCCTGTGTAGCTGCAGGGAGCAGACTGCAGGTGCACGCCAGCACACTCAGTTAAGTTTTGTACTTTTTTGTACAGACAAGGTCTTACTATGTTTCCTAGGATGGTCTTGAACTCCTGACCTCAATCAATCCTTCCACCTTAGCCTCCCAAAGTGCTGGGATTATAGGTATGAGCCACTGCACCCTGCCTATATGGTAATTTTTTTAAGTAAAAATGTTTCAAAAAAGATACACACTAAATTGTTGGCACCATCACCTTCCAGAACAAGAATAGGATGATTGGGGGGCAGAGGAGGGTTTAAAGGGTTGAAAGGGAACTTTTATTTTTTCCTCTATACTTTTATAACTTTTTTTCCCATAATGAGAATACATTACTTTCTGTTATTTTAATTTTTTGAAAAACAAATACAGTCCAATTGCAAAACATAAAACCAGCCACCTCAGAAGTATTCTTAAGAGAAATTCATACAAGGGGTCTTGGGGAAAAATATTTCCTATCATACACCACTTTCTTTTGCATTCTAGAGGCAGGGGTGATTGCACAGAATCCTTATTCAATCCCAATATGGCTGTTTAAATAAATAAATCTGAGACCACACACACAACCAAGGAGGAAACATTACGTATTATTTCCTCACCCTTGGAACCCTTATATACAGTGCAGTAAATGGTGTACATTTCTTTAACATGCTTTGTGCTACAAAGAGAAAAATGCAACATCTCTGGGCATTTCTTTTAAATTGACTTATTTCCATTATACCAGGGACCACACAAGCTATTAAGCACGCCATGATGAATCAACCCTCAAGAAGTTTGTTCCACATCAGGACTCAGCTAACATTCTCTGAAAAGGGCCAAAGTGTAAATATTCTTGGTCTTTTGGGCCATGTAATTCCTGCCTTAACTATTCAATCAGCTGTCGGGGGACTTCTGTGCAGCCACAGATAATGATGAGTCAACAAATGAGTGTGGCCTGGTGCCAATAAAACTTTATTCACAAAAACAGGCAGTGGGTTTGGACCAAGGGCCACAGTTCACTGACCCCTGTTCAAATGAAGGCATTGAACTATATATAAATTAAAAAGTGAGGGAAGGACAACAAAAAGATTGGCCCTCCAGGAAGAGAGAACACAGTCCAGGACTGGGGAAAGGAGAAAAGAAGGAAAAGAATAGAAAACAGGAGAAGCCAGGCACACGTAAAAATTCAACAGGAGACTCAACCTTCCGTGGGAGTAGCTGGCAGTGTCAAACCCAGAGGCCTCAACTGAGGTGAGGCTGTAGGTGACAATCCCACAACCCAAAAGGTGAGGATTAACCTTCAAAAGGGCCATCGGCAAAGTGGCAGAGACACAAACCAGATGCCTGGGCAGAACATTGGGTGAAGAGTGAGATAGCAAGAGTGGGAAGGGGGGAATCTGGGCAGGGGACAGTCAGAGGTCAGTGGCAGATAATGGGGCTCAGAGGTACTGAATGTTTTCTAGGCTGAAAAGGAGAGGCTCATGGGTGAATAAAGATTCTTGAACCAAGAAAGGAGATGGGAGTAAGAACTCAGATGGATGTCTCAGACATGGGAAAGTTTCCATGGTTCTCCAATAGGGACAACTAGCAATGTGTGGAGACCCTGTGATTGTCCACAGTGGGGCGAAGGCAATGTTATCTGTGTCTCATGGGTAGAGATCAACTCTACCCATCTGAGAGATGCTACTCAAAATGCTACAGTGCACGGGATGGCCCCACGAGCAGGAATTACCCAACCCCACATGTCAGCAGCACGGAGGTGGAGAGGCCCTGCTAGAACCAAATAGGAAAGGATATCAGCGATGAAGTGGGATGAAGTAGAGGCCCAGGGAGCTCACCCTGTGGTCTCTATAAATGAGCAGGGAAGGGACAAGAAGTAGCTCTCCAGCAGAGAGGTGAAGAATAGGAATAGTCGTAGGAAGGTGACCTAAGAAATGAGGGGGACCTAGAAATAAGAGTCTCATACCTCAGTGAGCTGAGGACCCACTAGACTCAGCCCCCAAAGCTCTGTGGGATCCTATTTTAATTAATCCCACATTGCCTTCATTCTCTGACTTTGCAATGCCTACAAGCAATCTTGCACCAGAGCTGGCCAATCCAGAGGAACAGAGAGGGAAACGCTTGCCTAACTCAGTACAGCAATGAAGCTCCCAATAAATGAAATAGGGTAGCCACCCCCATGACATCTCCAACAGGAGCCCTTCCTCCCTTAAAAAATTCCCACTGAATTCCCGGCATCCACCCACCCCAGATCCCAACCCAAATGCCCTACTGATGTTAACAGATTAATGATCTAGAAAGTTCCTCGCCTCTCCCCAAGTCTTCAAGAGGCATCACATCTCATTTATTTCATAGAATTTTTGTTAACCATTACCCCAAGCACGGTGTGTGTGTGTGTGTGAGAGAGAGAGAGAGAGAGAGACGGGGGCGGGGGGGCTCAGACCAAAAAGAACAACTATTTGTTAGGAGACCAACATTAGCTAGGATGTGAATCCCAGCTCCACCACCTACTGGCTCTAATAACCTCCTCAAGTCACCCCTGCTGTGAAAAGAATGGCAAACCCTCCCTCTTAGAGTGGCAGAGAGGATTAACTGAGATTATATATGCAAAACCTATTATCCTCTATAAGGTATTAGCTGGAGAACGAGGAGTTTCCTAAGATGCTAAAGGAGCCAGATATACCCAGGGAATCCACCACCTGTGCCCGGCTGGGGAATAAATATTTCCTGAACACCTACTATGTGCTAAGCAGCATTCTAGGCTCTAGAAATGTAGCAGTAAACAACCTAAGTAAATAAATAAGTAGCCTCTGTCCTTGTGGAAACCATAAACATGCAAAGACAGGGTAGATCCATGTACCAACCCTGAGGCACCAGGCACATACCCCAATTCCAAGGCTACAAGGAACCACAAGCACACAAAAGCATATGCACAAAACCTGGGATATGTCCAAACAGCCCACCTTGGATTTTCTTAACAAGAACCACTGTCCTTCATTGAGCACCTACTATACACTCAGCAGCCAGAAGCTTTTTAGACATTGACAGAGCCGCTCAATGACACTGGCTGGTCAACCCAAGACCTTTCTTCTGCACCTCCTTCCCCATCAGCAGATTTAGGAGCTCCAATTTCTTCCCTTCCCCCACCCCCTACTCATCTTGATCAATTTCCTTTTATGGTAAAATCTGAAGCAATAGCCCAACAGATATATTTTTAAGCAGACCCTCAAAACCCACAGTAGGAAATTCAATCAATATTCTTTCAAATGCCTCTTTCAAATGTCTTTGCCTCACAACCAGAAGAAAGGTGGTCGCCCAGAGCACTCAGGGGTCAGGGATACAGAGGCTCACTCGTTCCTGAAGGTGGAGGTGAGGGCTGAGAAGTGTCCCAAGAGACTGAAAGGGGGGAGGGGCAGCAGTCTAGAGCCTGGGTGGAACCAGACAGAGGGGTTCAAGTTCTCACTCTGGCACTGACTTCAGGGTAAGTGAGTTATGTAGCCTGCCTAAGCCTCAGTTTCTTCCTCTGTGAAATGGGTGCAAAACAGTTTCAGCCTTTAGTGGCCACTATAACGATCCAGAGAAATAGGATAGGCAAGCCTGCAGCATATGGGTGACGCTAATTATAATAATCATCTTTAAACCACCACTACTTCTACTACTACAATTGCTGCTGTCCTAAAGGGTTCAGGATTTGCCTCTGGACATCTGGAAACAGAACCTAAAACCACAACACAGACCTGGGGTCCTGGATGGCCACAGGCTTCCATTCACGAAAGCAGAGTAGAGGAGCTGCCGCAGTTCTCCACCCCAGCCACAGCCACCCACGAATGGGCCACTCTGTGCTTTGGCTCCAAACAATATGCGCTCAGGCTCTTGGCTGTCGGGCGCTGTCCGGACCCAGTGACCCCATTTCCTAGAGGCAACCCAGAGAGGACGCGCATCGCGTCACTGGGGTGCGTTGGGCTTGGAAGGGGCCAGGCACCGGTCGGAGGCGCGCTCACGAGAGACGCCTGAGGCGGGGCGGGCACTGGGGCAAGGTTCCTCGCGCTCAGGTCGGGCACACAGGGCGCTGAGTCGCGAGCCCGGGCGGGCAAAGGCCAAGGTCAGCGGCTTCTAGCCCCTCGTGGGGACCAAGCGACTCTCCTGGGCATCACCACTCCTCCCCTGGGGGGTTCCATTTTGCAGAGGATTCCCCTCTCCACAGCTATGATCCCCGCCCACTCCCGAACCTCCACACTCACCCTCTCCCGGGTACAGGTGGCCTGCGGCGCCCACCAGCAGAGCGGCCATGGCCACCAGCAGCGGTGCGGCCGCCGCCGCCCACCAGTCCCCGGCGCCCATGGCGGCAGGAGCGCTGGGTCCCCGCGGATCAGAGCGCGAAGCGCCCGCCCGCGGGGGTCATTCTCCCAGGCGGCCACCCGAGAGGCACTGGGAGCCGCGTATCCTTTTCCTCCACGCCCGCGGCCCGCGGGCAGAAGCCTGGGTCTAGGAGAGCCCTTAAGACAGCCCCGGGAAGAGAGCGCGGCCTCGGAGATACCGAGACGAGGCCCGATGGTGACTGCCCAGACCCCAGGCCACTGCGGCCCGGGCCCCGTCCGGGATCTCAAAGGCCCGAGCTCTGCACTGCGCCCCGGCCTCCTGGCTCTCGGTCTTGCACGCTCTGGGCCGCGATCTGCGGACTCCTGGACAGAGGGACCCGCGGACAGACGGACGTGCTGACGGGCGGGCGGGCAGCTGGAGCCAGGGTAGCTCCGGCCGGTAAACAACGCGGCCCGTCAGCTGGGCCTCGTGCGGGCCGTAGGAAAAGGTGGCGCGGATCGGCCTCGGAAGGGACTCGGCGCCCGGGAGAGGCCCTGGAGAGGGAGGGAAAGACCAGCAGAGGGAGGTACCGCCCGGCCCCGCCCCTCCTTTCCCCCGAGACGGACCCGGCGCCGGAGGCCCTCGGCGCGGCCCACGAAGGGGGTACCCCGGGTGCCCGCCAGCCGCAAGCGCAGGTCTCAGATCCTGGGGGGCCCTAGATGCCCCACGCAGCGGGACGGATCCTGCCTCTCTGTGCCATTTTGCTATTTTGTTCATCGCGGGCTTTGGGAGACACATTTTGATTTTTTTTAATATTGCATTAAAATATTATTTATCTTGGTGACTCGGGGATAAGCACTCCCTTAAAATTTTCAGCCCAGCCGAATAGTGCCTAACTTGCCTCCCTAGTCGGGGTTCAGACAGCCACGCTAGTCCTAGAGTGCGCGGGCGCCCCAGATGTCCCGCCCTGCGAGCGTCCTGGCCAGCGGCGTGACCCACACCAGGCCGCTGGGGACTGCCACGTGCCCATGTGCTGCGGCCGGGGACCGTTTGCCAGGGCCCGCGTCTCCAGTAGAGGAATGACTAAATGTGCCGGAGGTCCTAAAAAGAGGCGAACCAGGCGCAGGTGGACTCCCAATTTTCAAAGCGCAGAGCAGTCCACAGTGTTTTGAATGTCAGGTAATGTCATTCAGGAGCACCCCTCCAACTGTAAAGGGTTAAGCCGCCGTCGTAGAAAGGTCAGCAACTCCACTTCCTGCATAGTCTCAGATGCCTCACCTCACCTGTTTGATAGTTTGTGTATCTGCGTGCCAGAATTGAGAGGGAGCTTGGGAAAGCTCCCAGCAGAGCCAAGTCCTTTCTTTATTAAATGAGTTTGCCAGGGCCTGGGCCCAGTGCTGTCCAACACGCAGAACCCATTCTTGCCATCCCCTCCACCCCGTCTGTCACACCTCAGCCTGGCTTCACCTCTCTGTCCCTGTGGGCCTTCCCTCACCACACTATGCAAATCCTCTCTAGTTCCTTGGTCCTTTCCCCTGTCATTTTTCTTTCTCTCTTTATTTATTTATTTATTCTTCTTAAGACAGGGTCTCTGTCTTCCAGCCTAGAGTGCAGTGGCACGGTCATAGCTCACTGCAGCCTCCAGTTCCTGGGCTGAAGGGATCCCTCTGCCTCAGCCTCCCAGGCAGCTGGGGCTACAGATGCCCACCACCACACCTGGCTGGGGTTTTGTTTGTTTGTTTGTTTGTTTTGGAGAGAAGGGTTTCACTATGTTGCCCAGGCTGGTCTGGAACTCCTGGCCTCAAGCTATCCTCCCACTTCAGACTACCAAAACACTGAGGTTTCAGGTGTGACCCACCATGCCTGGCCATTTTCACGTTACCTGAAATTTTAATTTATTGTTTTGTGTAATTTCTCCCCTCCCCAGGAAGGCAGAAATCTTGTTAGTCTTGTTCACTGCTTAAACCCAGTGCCTGACAATGTGTTGACTGACAAATATTTATGGAAGGGAAGAGTCCACAAGCCTTAAGTAATAGGGGATTTACAGTAAGCAAAACAAACAAGGTCCATTTCCTTCTAGGGCTCCCAATTTTGTGGAAGAGAGACCCATTAAATGATTGTGTGTTGGGAAATGAGAGGAATAGAGAGATATCTGCTGAGTGTGTGATTTTTGACCTGCAATCTGAAGAAGAGAAGCCAATCGATGGAAGGGTAGAGGGAATAGCATGTGCAAAGGCCCAGAGGACAGTGGATGGGGTGGCATTCTTGCAACTGAATCATGTACTGTAGTTATAGAAAGAGGAAAAACTGGACCCGTGGGCAGAAACTACAGCTGGCCCTTGACCAACATGTGCTGAACCATGCTGGTCCACTTTATATGTGGATTTTTTTCAGTGAATATATTGGAAAATATTTTGGAGGCTTGGAACAATTTGAAAAAACTCAAAGATGAACTATGTAACCTAGAAATACAGAAAAAAATAAAGAAAATCTTAGATATGTCATTAATGCCTAAAATATATGTAGATACTAGTCTATTGTGTCCTTTACTACTATAAAATACATACAAATCTGTTATAAAAAGTTAAAATTCATCAGAACTCACAAACACAGACCATACATAATGACATTCCTAATCTAAACAAATGTGAACAAGCCTAAAAATGCAGTATTAAATCACAAATGCATGAAGTTAACTGTAGTATATACATACTACTGTAATAATTTTGTAGCCCTGCTTGAACACAGTGGCTCACACCTGTAATCCTCTCACTATAGGAGGCCAAGGTGGATTGCTTGAGTTCAGGAGTTTGAGACCAGGCTGAGCAAGAGCTGGACCCAGTCTCTCTCTACTAAAAATAGCCAAACATCATGATGGGTGCCTCTAGTCCCAGCTACTTGGGAGGCTGAGGCAAGAGGATACCTTGAGCCCAGGAATTTGAGGTTGACGTGAC